AGGAGTTAAGTGAATGGAAAGGTGTCATGCAATTATATAGGGGACAGAGAGGGGATAGTATGGGGACAGAATGGCTTCTAGCCTAGCCACCATCAATTATTGCTTAATAGGGTTGCTTTTTTCTTTTTCTTTTTGAATACAATCGATATTGGGCAGGGCCGGTCCTGAGTTTGCAAAGGCCTAGGGCGAAATTTTAAAGTGTGCCCTACACGCATTAATCACTAACACTAACACTAGTATACTTTTTTTAGACAGTATTTATTCCATTGGTTTATCAACTGTTTTATCAACTAAGCATTGGTTTTTTTGAGAAAGTATTTATTCCAAGATATTTTTAGACTTTGAGCAATGTCTTTCATATTCCTAAACTCTCATCATGGATCCTTTGTTCCAAAATTTCAAGAATGCAAGTCAAGCCAATATCAAAGAATTTCTTTTAAAACTCTCATCATGGATCCTTTGTTCCCAAATTTCAGATCCATTTCAATATCCTATTCCTAAATTATGGAAAACAATGTGTATTTAATTGTGATTCATCTTACAAGAAAAATCGAAAAAAAGAAAAAAAGGAAATCATCCATGTTATTTTCGCAGAAGAACAATTCCAACAGTAAAGCAAGGTTTCTATTTGAAAAGAAAACCCCAGAATAGTACATCTATTAGTGATTCAAAGAATTTGAATGAATCAATCCAAGAAAACCCCATGATTTAAATGACATAGAAGAGGAATCGATAGAGAAAAAGAGCGATAGGAAAAAAAAAAAGCAAATCACCCATGGTTAAATCGCCCATGGTTATTTTTTGCAGAGGACGAAACTGAAGAGTGAAACATAAATGAACTTAGGAGAGGCTTAGATGAGATGAGATGAGATGAGAAGAGAAGAAGAGGAAAAACAAGAACAAGAAGAAGAAATTTTTAGAATAGATAACCTGGAGGAGTGGAACACCAGCGCAAAAGGGTTCTTGAGGAGCGGAAGAGATGCGCTTCTTCCAGAACGCGAACACCATTTTGTTCCCTCAAAAATATTAAATCAATTTATAATATATAATATAACACTTATAAAAATAAATAAAAATTGGGCCCCCCTGAATAATGGGCCCAGGGCAGTCGCACTGACTGACCCTGGTCAGGGCCGGGCCTGATATTGGGAAGGGGGAAACCTTTTACCTTGGATGTAAGGGTAAATTCTCTTAATCACTTTAGCTACAAGTTTTTTGCTAGATTCACTTTGTTTTTTAGGAAGAGTTCTCTTTTGCTAGTCTGTATACTTTGGTTTTAGCTTGAACTTTTCCAAGTTTACTTTTGTTCTTGCTGGGATCAGTTAATTCAGCTTGAAAGCAGCCAATCCTAATTGGAGAGTATGGTATTTTCCTTGCTGAATGCTGCATCTGCAATCTACTCAAATCCCAAAAGGAAACTAACCATTTCAGAGTAGTTGAATTAGGAGGAAAAGACAGAGAGAAAGCAATAATGGTAACCATATTCAAGCAATGTGAAATACGTACAGACAAGGTATACAAGTCTCTGTCTGGTCCAGACCAGGGTTTATAGTTCACGTTCTCTCTGTATCTTCCTTGAATTCACCTTAATGATTGCTTGGAGAAGCCATTAATATTTACAGGGTTTTTATGGAAATACCCGTTTAGCGGTATTTTAGGTGGATGAGATATTTGATGAAAATACACCTTTAAAGTTGGTAACGTTATAAAGTTTTGTCTATGAAGGACCACATTGATTGATTTGAGAATTTTGAAAACTAAAATAAAAACTTTGAAAAAATTCACAGACACTAGTGATAAAAACCCACACTTATAATAAGGTACATAAACAATGCGGTTCAGAAACCAGAAATCAAAGGTACTTTTGAATTGAGATGATGAGAAACTAATTGTATATTCTCGTAAGACAAGAAATCTCATCTTTATCCACCACCCACCAGGTTCACAGTCATCTGATGAGACCATGCTAGATAAATTGCAAGCCCATTATTCATGTAAGCCATTGATGGATTATTGTAGTGTGATATATTATATTTTCAATGCTAAAATGTATAAGTGTGACAATTTCTTGGTGGACTGAAGTTCAATACAATTATTCAATACTCTTGTACAAGTTCTACCATCGATGAGTAAGTCCCTAAGACACCTACTAAAGTTCCAAATGCAATTATTCCTACACTGCCTAATAGCTTGTAGTTCCAGCTCCTATAGCAAGCAGAAAGCTTGAGATAGCACATGCAGGGGAGAATGAAGGAAACCGAAACAGTAAATAGCGAGCCGACAATCGCCATGAGGGTCTCATAGTAGGGGAAAACATAGGCTACCACTGTGGAGCTGACTAGTAATGCCATCCTTATAAGCAGTTTAATAGATCTCCAATTCTTGTAATCTTCTGAAAGTCCACCTTCAATGGCATTAGCTACCGGGGTTACCATCAACGCATATCTTGCGATTGGAATAAGTAGAATGGTGTATATTGCAACTCTTGCACTCACTTCTGTTGTTGGTAGATTCAAAGTGATCTGCGATTCGACACCATCTCCATACATAAGATAGCCCGTGACCGCGGTTAACATGCAAGTGATGGTTATGAGTAGAAAGCTAAAGAACACAACCTGCATATCAATCAACAAAGGATTAGGTTATTAAAAGTAATTGAAGTAAAATGCCTATCATATTATCAAATCTTTATGCGCACAACATTAACATTCGTCTGATAAAAGAACATTACACTATATAGGCCGGTTTTAAAGTACAGTCCTTTTGTTTGGCTCAATGGGGTTTTGTTCCAGTTTTGAAATCAAAGGATGGCTCAAAATCAAACACTCATCGCACTAATCATCAAATGGACTTTGGATTAACTACCGAAACCCCTTCCATGCCCGTAAATTTTGCGAATTCCTTATTATTACATCCATATACATACATAACACATACATATATGTAATCTCTGTTTCATATTGGAAATTATTTTGTCTATATCCTGCATACCTTGCTGAACTGATTTTTATCTTGCGTAGAAACGTATATTGAAGGGATGATTGCATGTCCTGCAAAGCAAAAAATATACAAGCTTACAGCGGTAGGAAGGCCCCCCACATTTAACAAGTCTCCACTGGCATGAAACCCAACACCTCCAAATGCACCAACACACACAATGGAGCCAACAATGATAAGGCAACAGAACACCCCGGTGGCCGAAACATAGGACAATATACTCATCTCAGTGATCAGCATTGTGGGCAAGATGATCAAAGCTGTAACTAACACAAATGACTGTCTACCACAGATTAACAACGACCCGAGCTTGATCCCGAATTTTGGAAATAGCTTATACAAGCTATCACTTTCTAATATTATGAGGCCTACGGCAACCAGGTACAATTCTGTGCTCAAAATAATTAAGACTATGATTCTGGCTGTTTTACCAAAGGCACGCTCAGCAATGTCAAGGTAGCTTGTAATTGATGGATCAGAATCCATGCAATTCTTTAGCAAGATGGCTGTGTAGAAGGTGATAATGGAAATTAGAAACAAGAGCACCAGGCTTAGCCACCCTCCCCTTGAGAGGGCATAAGGAAGTGTTACAAGACCAGCACCTGAAAAATTAATCAAACAAGGGTAAATAAATTGTAATAGTCCTCCAAAATAGAAACACAGTAACATGAGAGTGAAAAAAAATTAAATATACTGCTTACCCAGGAAAGCATTTGTTCCATTAAAGCAAGCTTTCAAGAAGCTGGATCCTTTGCTTTGAGTTAGTGGAGTTCTTAACTCATTTGCCATTGTTTCTTATGTTGGAGAGAGAGAGAGAGAGAGTATCTCAGAGGTCATAACTTCTGAAATTATGAGTATATATATATAGAGCTTCTATTGAGGGATCCCTCAAATATGGTTATTTGAGGGACACCTTTGTAGAGCCCACTCAGCATTGTATTTCATTAATCCAAATGTTCATTTTGTAGATATTCATTCATATATCATCTCTACAAAAAATCACTTGAATCCGATATCATTTGACCACTCAATTGAATTATTGAAATTTTAGTACTTTCCTAAAGCACTGTGTTCATTGATTTTGTAAGACACAATTGGATATCGAAACGGTTTCTGATTTGTCTAATTTTTGCAAGGATGATCTATGAATGTAGATTTTAAAAATAGATGGTTTGGATTGTTGAAAAAATATTTGTAAGGGACCCTAAAGGGCATCAAATTTGAGGAATCCCTCAATAGAATGAGACTGATATATACATGTATATACTTTGGGGGTCCATCCCAATTAATTAACTTCTGAAATGATGATAAATTGATAATGTTGATGCTTATGTATAGCATCAGTAGTGATTAATTTTGGGAATTCTAGGAACATGATCAATAATAAGTTATTTATTGCATTTGTTGGACTAGTTACCCTAGCTTAAATGGCTTATCGCTCTCTACCGAAACTGATCATGATATGCATAAATACAGTGGGCCTTGGATTGTTGTCTCAATGTCAATGTCAATGTCAATGTCAATGTCATGTACAGCTGGGTGTCCATGCATATGCATGATGCATCACATTCATATGGAATCTCTGTCTTGTCCAAACCAGGGTTTATTGCCCTTGTCCTGTACTGTGTTTATGGTTCTCTTTGTTTCTTCCTTGATTTCACCTTCAATGATCGCTTGGAAAAAGCCATTATTATTAATAATAAGCCACATAAACAATGCGGTTCAGAAACCAGATATTCCTTCTTCTTTTTTAGGAAATTTGGAGAATTGGCCTTTGCTCTCCCAAAATGCCTTTTTGATTCCTGGAGCTTTCTCCATATCTACCAAAAAGGGATATGCTGGAATTTTGAAGGATGACCTCGTAGGGATCTCTCTGTTGTGAATTTGAAAATGCCTCTTATTCTATTGCTTTTTAGAAGAAAATGCAAAGCTCCAATTTATCTTAGCATAGAAAAGGTTCCAAACATCACAATCAAACTAAGAAAAAGTCCAACCAAAAAACATACAGAATAAGATATAAAGACAATGAATTAAGAATTTTTTTATACATATAATTACATATATGAACAAGAATTAAAAATTATGTGTATATTCATTCCTAACTCTCCCAAGAAAAACAATAAAGAAAAACCTCAATCACTAGAGCTGTACCTCTTTATTCAAGTCCATCAAAATTCTCACCTGCCATTGCTAACAGTACTGTAAATTAAGGGTTGAGTGGCCTTTGCAGGTAATTGACTTGTATCCCCCACCACGGTTGTACTTGCCGACGAGTTGTAAACGCTAGAATCAGTTCCTTTAGTTGACATATCGATAGTCGTACTGTTTATACCACTTATATCATCAAATTTCCAGTCAGTCAAGTAACCAGGCTTTGAAGTTACAGTCGCCACTTCGATATCTCCTGAAAGCATTCCCACCACACGGGACATCGATGGTTGTAGCAATGGTGATGCTTGAGTGCACAAAAATGCTATAGCAATTACTCGTTTTACTTCTTCCTCGTTGAATTCGGATAATCTGGAGTCCACTAGTTCAACTTCACGTTTGGTTTCATGCAAGTACCAAGCCTAAGAAGTAAGACCATGAAAGTGCATTAAGACATGGAGTGAGCTGCATTGGTCCAAAAAGTGTTAGAAGCGACAATTTCTTACCCATTCAAGAAGATAAATCTTTTCTTCATCCAAACTCGGGTCAGAATTTGGCCTACCACTGACAGTTTCTAGGGCCACAACACCGAACGCAAAGACGTCACTCTTCTCTGTAAGGTGTCCACGCATGGCATATTCTGGGGCAAGATACCCACTGCATCATTGACAATAATGAGTACTACTTATCAACATAACATATTTATAAGACAACAGGAAATGAAGAGCTATATTTGAAATCATAAGTAAGGTGACTCTAAATCTTTAAGAGCTAAGAGCTTACATTGTTCCTGCAACCCGGGTACTGATGTGGGTCTTTTTATCATCATAAAGCTTGGCTAAACCAAAATCTGATATTTTGGGGATGAGATTAGAGTCAAGCAGGATATTACTGGCCTTCACATCTCTGTGCACAATTCGAACCCTTGATTCCTCATGAAGATAAGTTAAACCTCTTGCGACGCCCAAGCATATGTCAAAACGTGTTGACCAATCAAGATTCAAACTTCTTTTTCCTGCTTCATACAAGCCATTATTATAAATCTTTATAATCTTTTATATTCTACATGAAACAGTAATAATGTTATTCTCATACCAAATAATGCTTGATCAAGACTGTTGTTCTCTAGATACTCATAAACAAGGAGTCGCTTATCTCCCTCAACGCAGAATCCGTACAAATCCACTAGGTTATTGTGTTGCACGGCAGAGATAGTGGCAATCTCAGTTACAAACTGGTTCTTTCCTTGATGGGATGCTGCAGACAATTGCTTCACAGCAATTACTCTTCCATCATTAAGTGTTCCCTATTTACAAAATTCATTAATGTTTAGAGAAATTAATATATACATATACATGTGTATATATATATGTATTATCAATATCCTTTAGTGAAAATGAAACTTCAGCAGCTAATGAGTTTGATGGTTTGGACAGGCATACACACTTCTACATATAAGGTTAATTTCTTTTACTGGAATTGCAACGGCTGGCATCTTACCAATCACTACACATGGTCTCATTGTGAGAAGTACACTGCTGCCAGTGCGAGCCCATAAAAAGTATGGAGACCATTTTTAACAGGGACATAAGAAGAAAATTTTAGAAAAACGAAATCAGAAACGAGGATGAAAACGTATGATGCTTCAAGAGGCTATGGTTACATCCAGGCATATGTGATAGATGTCACAGTTCTATGCTTGTATCAATTAGTAAATACTGAGGCACTGACATGGGTGCAGCCACATGTCGTTTAGAATAATAACTTACCTTATAGACAGGTCCAAATCCTCCCTCCCCAAGCTTATTAGCTGGATTAAAGTCATTTGTAGCTGACTTCAGTTCCGAAAAGCTGAAAGTGAGTGGCCCGATATCTATCCCAAACAGCTCTGCATATTTAGCATAACAACTGTTATATTTGTGAGCCTGTTTATCCAGAAATCAGTTTGCTTCTTTTTGCATTTTTTTTTTTCAAGTTTGCATCTGCTTTAGTAGCTTGTAGGCTTTACAGCAAGGAACATGTAAAAGTGATTTACTTATAAACACCCATGGATATTTTTTTTATTAATGTTTTTTGGAACATAGGAGGGGCCACCCAAAAATGCAGCTCATTTTTTGTTAAGTATGGGAAGCGCAGATGGCTTGCCCAACGACAATATTGAATCACATTTAGAAACACAAGGGTTTGAGTTTAAATTTTTGAACTGCAAAGTGATAGACAAAGGATGCTCTAATACCAATTGATGCCTAAAGTAGAATATATTTATTCTCTTGCATCAATCATCAGACACCTTTTGATAAGTCAAACTTGCATTGATAAACAATAGAAGTAACAATTTACCTTCATCGTCCATTGTGTTAGGACTTTTTCTTCTTTGGAAAATATAGAAAGCAGCCACAATCAGAATTAAAACTCCAGCACCAACAACGATTCCTACAATCAGCCCAGTCCTATTCTTCTTACTAGTTGGGGGGTTGTTACTGACAGTAGGTATGAAATCTGTAGAAAAGCTCTGTAGTCAACAGCATGGCACCACTTTGGGAAAACATTAGAAGCTAAACTTCCTAAATCATATCTGAAATTTGAACATCATATTACCTGGTGTAGCACTGATGGCTGAAATAACAGGTCCATATGTACCCTGCCCAGGTATGCAGCAAGTCCCCTTTCCAGCCCAAAAGAGATGAATTTCTAGGTAGTTCTCTGAAACCTGAGCCGTGTACTCCTTCTGTACGGCTTGGAAAGATGCACCTGCCTCCTTCCGTATATCAAAATCCTTTAGAAACAGATTGTCCTGAAAACAGAGAGAGGATAGATGAAAACGGGGCGATTAAATTTGTTATACACACTTAAAAGTAATTGCTTTGGTTCAAATGTTTTCTTTGAAACCATGACAATCCCAAGTCATGACCAAATAATTTTAAACTTTATGAACTTAAACAAGGAAAAAGTTTCCTTGAGATGATACATACCTGGATATAAATATCAAATACACGTCTTCCAAGACTTTTCCATGTAGTAGAATCTAGGATAGCTGTTTCTGCAAATTCAAGGGTCACAGTGTAGTTACCATTCTCAAGGCCCAAGCCATAGTATCTAAGTGATGAAGCTGAAAGCCTTGCAGTCTGGAATATCTCAGAATCTAAAGTATTTTTGAATTGGGATGATGAGAAACTTGTATATTGAGGATTTTTGCTCCCAGTGAAATATCCAACATTGCTAACTCCCCATCTGCTTGTGCCAGTCACAAAATATGTAGCTGGACCAAGGGTCTGATTTTCATTCTCATACACAATGCCGTTGGAAGATGTAATCTGAGGACCACCACATTTAATCCCCAAGTTATAATCTGCACAACGATACAAAAGAGGTACATATAATAGTATGTTCAGATTCAGGCAATGAAAGGATAATAGTTTGTACAGGCATACTCATTCTCCATGTAAATCACAAACTTAAAAACAAAATATAAGTTAACAAACGACACTACCCAATGCCGGTCCTACCCGATTGGATCCTCAGAGAGATCTGATTCAGTCCTAATTCTTCTAACATTTTTACATAATTGGGCATTTTTAAGAATCAGATTTCACGGAGCAACACTTCTGGAATGACGAGAAAATTGCCCCAAAAAATAGAACAATGGGACTAAATATAGCGCCCTATGATTTATTTCGCTATTAATTATCTCCATTTTCTTTTCTCATGATGTACACTCCGAGTATATTACTACCGAATAATGTGATCGTTGATTGGTGATACATTTTAGCAAAATTTCATTCTAACACATATCCTGCTTGGAAGGATAACCACAGAAAGAGGCTAAGCTCTGACTATACTTACAGAGTCCAGTGCCACGATTGCAAGGAAAGTTCTGTTGAAGGCAATTCAACCCTGAAGGTAGTGCACTGAAATACATTAAAAAAAAAGAGAAGAAAAAAACACTTAGAATATGTCAATTATTTGTTGGATAACAAGAAATAAACATTCTCTCAGTCCCCCGCCCGTGCAATCCACCCAGGGAAAAAAGACAAAAAGGAATAGTGAAAGAGATAAGAACTAAAATTGTTATTTGAGCACCTAATGACTAATCATAATTAAAATAAAACTACCCTAATAATAAGAAATTATCTTCAAGTGAGAAGACAAATGATTTTCCTTACTCCAGAATTCTAGGTGCTTTCCATGACATGAAGATTCAGTAAATGGGCTACAATATGACATAATTGTCCGCTTTGGTAAAAGTTGCCACCTAACTGTTTTAGGTCCCATTGCATCATTATGTCATTAGATTGACCTTATAGTGTGATAGCAGGATCCTGAGTACAGAACTGACGAGGGATTTGATTCAGGATCCAAGTTAGCAGTGCACCCATTCAGATGAAGCCTGGACTGTGGCGTTACACTAGTAACTTCAACTACCATACTTAAGAATCAAACAATGACACATATACATTCTAAAAGTGACATGCAACTTTCACATCCATTATAAAAAATGTTCAAAACACTAAGTGAGCTGCAGATCCAAAGATTCACCTGCTGTTTGAACTTTCTATGCTGAAGTTGTTGGCCACTAAATTACTGAAAACAAAGTACACCCAAAAAACTCGCAGTGTTAGTTTCAACTAAATTGCCTGCAAAAACAAAATCTGTAGGGCTGTTGTTGAGAATGGCAGACCTAGCAATTGCTATATACGAAGAGTAAACAAAGTTATTAAACTAAAAACCTTTTAACTAAAAGAAAAAAACTATATAATGAATGGAAATAGAAAAAGCCAAGTATATAGTGAAATATCAAGAACATACAGCTGTAACTTTTCTTCGTTGACCCATGAAGGAAAGCTCCCCAGTAGATTATTGTAAGATAAATCTCTGCATGCATATATCATGAGAAAAAACATCAAATACATAGTTCATACAATTAACATAACAATACTGTGATCATTATTTTCATACATATATTGTGATTTATGCTCCATATTAATTTGAATATAAAACCTCAACTTCTCTGTGTTTCCTCATGAACCTAAAAGAGCTTTGCTTTGCAAGAATGGGTAACCATGTCTTGAGGACAAAAAATATGACTGACAGAAAAGACTGCAGGACTAGGAATGGTCTCCAAATCAACTTGCAGGAAGAAAAACTTCAAAACAATTTGAGATTACTAAAATTGTTACAAAGTAGCCTAGGTGAAATGACTCTAGTGGTGAGCAAAATCTGTTCATGACTTATTGTAGCTTATTGCATATAAATCTGTACTTCCGTGAAGTTGTTTGCTTAGTTCTAGGTATTTAGTATAAATCTCCAACTCAAAGTCGACCTTTAGCATCTAGTATCAGGGTTGGAAAAAGAAAAGTTGGCCATTCAAAATCCTTCAAGTTCATGTAGAAGCTGTACAGTTCAGATAAACCCAAAGTAAATGCATTCCATTCATCCACACAGATATGACTTTATCAAATGTAAAGAAAACTCAAATTTAATGCATTACAGTGATGCTCAAAGTAAATAGGCTGATATACTTACATGTTGAGAAGAGACGGATTTTTAGATTCAGGCAGGGTACCATTCAACTTATTGTTTCCAAGAAACCTAATTATGAAGACAGAAATACAAGCCTCAGAACTTTAAGCGTACATTCAGAAGGAGTATAAAAAAATTAAGAGGGAGTGATATATTACAGAATAGAGAGCGAACTCAAGTTAAACAGCGAGCCTGGTATCTGTCCAGTTAAATTGTTGAAGCTCAAATCCCTGGGGGGGAAAAGGAATAACTCAGGTATGTCCATTAAGACAAAAGCAGCTAGTACTAAAAATTCTTATAAAACAAGAACCATCATGTTGATGAACTAAAACTGGTAAAATTGAATACCCTCATGGTAATATTAGTAAACCTCAAATATATTATTCAATTATTTTATAAAAGAGGACAAGGTTGCATTTAGGATATGATCCACGCCAGTACTTCAGAAAAAAAAAGGTTCCATGTTGAGCCCCTTGGGTTTTCCCAACATGTATGCTCACCCATCACCAAAAAACACTTACAGCTGAGACAAACTTTGGTATTCTCCAATGTTGGAAGGAATTGAATCAGAAATATTGTTATTCCTCAGCACTCTGCAGGATATGCAACCAAGTTATCATATTAGATTCAGAAGGAAAACAAACTAGAAAATAGAAGTATGATCTTGTTGTATAAATTTATAATAGATTCAAACGTAAGCAAGAAAGATTTTCCTTACAAAATACTGAGAGACTTCATATCCTTAATAAATCCAAGAGATGAGCTCCCGTTGACATTGGATAAATCACTAATTCGCCTATTGTCATATCAAACATAAGATAGTTAGCTTTATATACTCATAAATAACCAAAAATTGACGAGTAGAACTAGATACTCACAGCTCTGTCAGAGAAGTCAGCTTGGAAAATGTAACTGGTATAGGACCTTCAAAAGAGTTTCCTTGAAGCCTCCTAAGAAATTATTTCGCTAAGAATTAGTGGAATATAGAAGTGATTGATTTTTCTCAAAAAAACATTGAGCTTACAAAATCTAAATAAAGACTTAACCTATTATCATTTAACTGCAACTGCATGGAAATAGAAAAGCACTTATTTAGATTATCTTACAAGACAGAAAGCTTTGACCAATTTCCTATGAAGTCAGGTATCCTGCCAGTCAGTTCAGTGTCCGATGCCCAACTGCAACAAACAAATGAATTCCTCTAATATATACTAAAGTAATAATTTTTCCTATTATTAATAAAAGCCTTTTTATCCGGAGAAAATAAACTTTTTTCTAAAGTTCTTACAGTGTCTCCAAGTTTTGCAGATTAGCAAATGTTGATGGAATTTCGCCACTAACTCCAGAACTATCAAAGTAACTGCGAAGGTAAACAATAATGAAATATCATAAATTTATTCCTACATCTTTTAATAATCACGAGTTAATAGTTGCTAAGCCATCAGTAAAGAACAGATGAATGTGGAAAACTAACAATAGAATATTGTAATAAAGTAACTGAGATATCAAAAGAAATGATATTCCCCAGCTCTAAGTAACGGAGGTATCATATCCATTTTTAAGACGGTTCTATTGGTATACATTCACTTTAACTTGGCAAAATGAATATTTGGGTGCAACTATGTTTTTTCTTTTATAAATGAAGAGGCCCTGTTACATCCAGAGAACCTTGTCTTGGTAGAAAATATTCACGTTGTGCAAAAAAAAATTCAAGTCCTGCTACCATATCCTGAAAAGATTCTTGGAATTTCGCACTGCATACAGAAAAGGAAATGAACAACATATCAAACTTACATCTCTTTTAGTTTTGATACACTCCCTAGCTCAGATGGCAGAGGACCAGAAAAGTTGTTTGCTCCAAAAGCGCTACAAAATTGACAAGTCATCAATCAAAAAATTTCTATGCATATTGTCTTTTAGAGGTTCAGATAAGATAATTAAGATTAAGTACAGGAACCAAGTATAGTACAGCAGGTACATGATTGAATTGAGCAGTACAGAAACTAACACACTTGGATCAGGGGATGACTTCATGTCCAATTTTGTAGGGTAATGGCAGACTGTCTGGCAGGGGAATATTTTCGTATACAGAACACAAAACAAGAAAACTTACAATGATATCAAATCAGTGAGATTTCCGAGTTCCTTCGGTAGCTCGCCTGATAATGCATTAACTCCAAGGCTCCTATTATTTTAAAATCAAAATCGAGATAATAATCATGAACACCAAAAAATTAAAAAGAACAAAGACAAAAATTCGGAATCAGTATTTTCAAATAAAATTCAGATGGGCTCACAAGTATTGCATGCCAGTCAGATTTCCAATGGATGCAGAGAGAGGCCCTGTCAAGTAATTCTGACCCAAATTCCTGCAAGAAAATGGAGGAAACTTTAAAATGACAACTTGGGCATTTAGCAAATTACACAAACTAATCAAAGGCAGAGCAAATTAGAAAGCATACAGATTGAAAAGGAAAGTCAAAGTCCATAGCTCATCTGGGATTACACCAACGACATCCAAGGCATAAACTTTCCTGCAAATGCAGATAAGCAAACAACGAAAGGTGGGATTTTGAAGGCAAAGAAAGTGAAGCTCTTTCAGAATGGCATTGGCGTAAAAAGAAGCTTACAGTTGGGTAATGTGGCAAGTGGAGTTGGCGTCGAAAGAACAGTCGCATTTGATGAAGGGGTTGTAATCGTTGTTGTTGAAGTCGGTGGAGTCTGTGGCTGCTCCACTGCAAGGGTCGCCGGTGGTGTTCCATTGCCGCTGATTCGCCGAAATCTTCCATTGCGCAAAGATTGAGTTTAAAGCTCTCACTGCACCTCCAATTACAATGAGTATTCATGACTTTCAAATGAACAAAATAACAGGACAGGCATTTTCTTTGTTCTGATCGAAAAAATGGACACCAAAAAACAAAAAGAAAACAAGGAAGCAGGCCCAAAGCACTTTTTTTTTTCTTTGATACGGAAACAAAAATTACAAAACATAGCACATTTTTTCCCTCAGAAAATCATATAGTTTTGTGTAATTAACAATTAAATCCTACAAGTCTAAAAGGACTTTTTTTAAGTAGCCAAATTTTGGACAACTCTTGACCAAAAAAGAAAACGTGCCATAACAACTCCTGACCAAAAAAAAAAAAACTTGCCATAACAACTACTTCTTGTTTGTCTGAAAAAAAAGAAGTAAACTCGTTCTTGCACGAATTTCACATCGAATATAATTATAATTTATACAACCACTATATACTTGTCATGATGAAGAGCTAGCTAGCGTGAGAGAAATTAACTGAGGTCTTGTTAAAAGAGATAAAAAGCTTATGATTAAGAGAGAAGTGAGAGAATAAAGGGACCTTCAGATGGATCAGTGGTGGCTTGAGCTTCTGCTATGCCAAAGATGCAGCAGAAAGCAGCAACATACAAGAAAAATACGACCAAAGCTGATGAGGAGGAGGAGGAGCCGTAGGTTCCTGACATGAATTATTTGATGATCTTCCTTTCCTTTGTAACAATAATATTTTTATTGCTGAAACCGATCAGCCATATGGAAACTGAGAGATGAGATTATAAATAGAGGTTGTAACGTCGTGTTTAGTCTCCATTCAAATCCAGCCGCGCTCAATTTGAGAAAAGTCTCACACACCCAATAATAATATTTGTCAAGGAACTTGTTTTGGATCAACTTTGGTTATAGATTGTGTCGTTGTGTACTCACCATCATGTATATAATAATATCCATATCATCGATCTTCATCGTATATATCAATAAAAACTATCATCGGTAACTAGGGTATAATATTTTTTTCAAATTGAGGTATAAAGTTAATTAAAGTTAGGCTTATTATCACAAAAGGTCCCTAAGGTTTACGAAACTATCAGATTGCATCTAGTTAATCTACGTACACAAGTATGAGAACTTTCTTATGGTGGCTAATCTCTTTTATTTATTTATATAATAGCCAACATCATCATCATGGGACCAAAATCTTGAAAACCAAATTTGACAAAATGGCAATGGTAGCTCTACCTGATTAAAAAAGAAATGATCAAAACGGTGTGTTTCACGCTTGATATACTTGTTCAACCCTGCCTATTATATATATCTAGAGTTCACATTTGGATTCTATAGATTAGACTTTCGTATCATATGCCAAGAAACATCGTTATCAATAAGGGCATGCATGTTTAAATGTACGTACGTAATTAAGATTAAGACCATATAATTTTCTATTAAATTATTATTAAGCTACAAGTTGTTGGCCAATTCATCTCAACCTTAGATAATATTAATTAACAGTAGATGTTGATTTGAATAACATATAGTTTATGTCGTACATATAATATGTGATTGAGTTGTCAATTTATTTTTGGTTTCGTTTGCTTCAATGAAGGAAAGGCATAAAAATAATTGGTAAATATCCTAAAATTATGAAGTATTTACCAATTGTGAGTTCGACAAATTTGAAAGAATTAAATAAAGTAAGTTGCACAAGTAGAAGGGTATGTCATCCCATTAATTTGTACACGTATAGTATATGTACATACTTAATATCTAGATAATATATAACTTGAAGATGACTACTTTTGACAATTAACATGATTAAAAATCATGCAATCACACAAATGGTTTTGTGAGCATTCACATTGGTGTTTGCATTCATTCGAGTAGTACATGTGTCTTTGTTTGGATGGTGATGCATAAAATATTCATATAACCGTCGAGCGGGTTACTACAGTGATTGTGGTCCTCTATCATCCTCCCTACTTGGCACTCAGGATCAAAATTCCAGAGTTTCTTTTCTCTCAATATAACCATTTTTTTTTCTTTCATAAAACCATCTCAAAGGGGGTTTAAAAATAATCAAAGACAAAATATGTGCAATCTTCGTTTATTTTGGGTAATATCTGATCAAGAACCATTTATCTGATTTAGCCCATGTGTTGGGATGTCATGTGTCTAATCTAGTATGCATTTACTGACGCCATACTCGATCGTTACTTAATTAAGTTATAAGTTTCTCTTTGATTTGACCTTATCACTATTTGATTTCTGACGATCAATTAGTGACTAAAACCCACTTCCCAAAGGGTGACACCCAAATTAAGTTACAACACTAATCTCCATCTAATCGAATGGAAAAAGTCCGCAAACTTTCTAATCTCCAAAATGATAGAAAGCATCCAGTCACCTCGACGGTTATGCTTCGAGAGATGGTTGATTATTTCTTGTGAGTCACTTACTGTGTGCATTTTTGCTCACCACTTTAACCATAGGTGTACCATCACCACCATTCTCAATGCTTGGCACGTGTTCATAGGTATAATCATGATTCCATAAAGGCTTTTTATCACAAATGATCCTTCAGGTTTGTGAAATTATCACTTTTCGTCCTTAAGGTTTTTTTGTGACACTAATGGTCCTTAACGTTACCTTCAACGCATCAAAATGATCCTTGCCGTTAGCTTCCGTCAAATTTTCTGTTAAATTGATGATTAAGTCTTTTTATAAATAAAAAAAACTAAAAAACCTACATCCATCCTCTGCGTTCTCCCTCTCCCAGCTCCCCTACCCCCATCGCAGACCCACTCTCAAGCAAATTAAAATCTTTTATTTTCGATTCAAATGCATTCGAGTACTCCAGCACTAATTTTTGAATCGAACCAAGTTTCTGCTCGTTGGATTTCATCTCTCTGTCATATCCTTCAATCAATGTTTGTTTGTTTGGCTCAACCTCCTATACAATGCCCTGCAATTCCTTGGCTTTAGTTCTCATCACCAAGTTAAAGTTCAACTATTTGGCTTCAAAATCCGCCAATCGAGAGGCCATTTCCTTCTTGAACACTTGGAGCTCTTGGAATTCCTTGGCTTAAGGTGCTCGATGAGTGGGTCTGCGATGAGGGGATGGCTGCAAGATTTTTAGTTTTTTAGATTTAATATTTTTTTATTTATAAAAAGGCTTAATTTTCTTTTTAAAATTTTTATATGGGTTTTAAGTTTAAAAAAATATTATATATTTTATTTAAAGTCATGTGGCTATATACTATTGTATGTGTAGGCTCCACATATGTGTCACGTCATCAATTTAACATAAAATTTAACGAAAGCTAACGGCAAGGACCATTTTGATGTGTGGAGGGTAACGTTAAGGACTATTAGTGTCACAAAAAAAACCTTAAGGACAAAAGGTGATAATTTCACAAACCTGAAGGACCATTTGTGATAAAAAGCCTTCCATAAATACAAAGCAAAAGTTAACTATGGTTATATCTATGGACACGTGTCAAGCATTAATGATGGTGGTAAGGGTACACCTATGGTTAAAGTGGTGAGCAAAAATGCACCCCTTAGGTTTTTAGGGGTTTGTGTAAAAAAGAAATATAATAATAGTTATTGAACCTTTTGAGAATGAGATTGCACGTGGTGGCCTTAGAGTAGACATGGATTTAGCTGGCAGGGCCCATGTGGTACAATAAATATATTAATTAATATAGGATATCCAATAATAGCATATATAGGGTGCATTTTTGCTCATCACTTTAACCATAGGTGTATTGTCACCACCATCCTCAATGCTTGACACGTGTCCATAGGTATAATCATGATTCCATAAATATAAAGCAAAAGTTAACTATAGTTATGTCTATGGACACGTGTCAAGCATTGAGGATGGTGATGAGAGTACACCTATGGTTAAAGTGGTGAGCAAAAATGCACCCCTTAGGTTTTTAGGGGTTTGTGTAAAAAAGAAATATAATAATAGTTATTGAACCTTTTGAGAATGAGATTGCACGTGGTGGCCTTAGAGTAGACATGGATTTAGCTGGCAGGGCCCATGTGGTACAATAAATATATTAATTAATATAGGATATCCAATAATAGCATATATAGGGTGCATTTTTGCTCATCACTTTAACCATAGGTGTATTGTCACCACCATCCTCAATGCTTGACACGTGTCCATAGACATAACTATAGTTAACTTTTGCTTTATATTTATGGAATCATGATTATACCTATGGACACGTGTCAAGCATTGAGGATGGTGGTGACAATACACCTATGGTTAAAGTGATGAGCAAAAATGCACCCTATATATGCTATTATTGGATATCCTATATTAATTAATATATTTATTGTACCACATGGGCCCTGCCAGCTAAATCCATGTCTACTCTAAGGCCACCACGTGCAATCTCATTCTCAAAAGGTTCAATAACTATTATTATATTTCTTTTTTACACAAACCCCTAAAAACCTAAGGGGTGCATTTTTGCTCACCACTTTAACCATAGGTGTACCCTTACCACCATCATTAATGCTTGACACGTGTCCATAGATATAACCATAGTTAACTTTTGCTTTGTATTTATGGAAGGCTTTTTATCACAAATGGTCCTTCAGGTTTGTGAAATTATCACCTTTTGTCCTTAAGGTTTTTTTTGTGACACTAATAGTCCTTAACGTTACCCTCCACACATCAAAATGGTCCTTGCCGTTAGCTTTCGTTAAATTTTATGTTAAATTGATGACGTGACACATATGTGGAGCCTACACATACAATAGTATATAGCCACATGACTTTAAATAAAATATATAATATTTTTTTAAACTTAAAACCCATATAAAAATTTTAAAAAGAAAATTAAGCCTTTTTATAAATAAAAAAATATTAAATCTAAAAAACTAAAAATCTTGCAGCCATCCCCTCATCGCAGACCCACTCATCGAGCACCTTAAGCCAAGGAATTCCAAGAGCTCCAAGTGTTCAAGAAGGAAATGGCCTCTCGATTGGCGGATTTTGAAGCCAAATAGTTGAACTTTAACTTGGTGATGAGAACTAAAGCCAAGGAATTGCAGGGCATTGTATAGGAGGTTGAGCCAAACAAACAAGCATTGATTGAAGAATATGACAGAGAGATGAAATCCAACGAGCAAAAACTTGGTTCGATTCAGAAATTAGTGCTGGAGTACTCGAAAGCATTTGAATCGAAAATAAAAGATTGTAATTTGCTTGAGAGTGGGTCTGCGATGGGGGTAGGGGAGCTGGGAGAGGGAGAACGCAGAGGATGGATGTAGGTTTTTTAGTTTTTTTTATTTATAAAAAGACTTAATCATCAATTTAACAGAAAATTTGACGGAAGCTAACGGCAAGGATCATTTTGATGCGTTGAAGGTAACGTTAAGGACCATTAGTGTCACAAAAATACCTTAGGGATGAAAGGTGATAATTTCGCAAACCTGAAGGACCATTTGTGATAAAAAGCCCTTAATTTATTGTGTCAATGGCTCAACCAATAATTTGCGTTGTTCTAGTTGGCTATCATATTGTAAAACGAAAGACTTAAAACTAAAGTCTAGTTTGGGATTATTGTCACATTAAAAAAAAGTTGCTTTTGTTGTGCTTTAAAAATAATTAGCTATAAAGTAAAGTAGCTCCATGTTTGGTAAATAATATTTTTAAAGTGTTGTTAGTATAAAAAGCAGTGTTAAAACAGTTTGGTAAATTTTAATATAAAACTATTGTAAATAAGGTCTCAGTGACTCACTCTCTCACTCGTGAAATACAAGTAAAAACACAAAGCAAGC